CCAGACCGGCAGTTTAGTCCAGAGAAACCGGGAATCGATGCCTTTAGCAGAATTAACCCCTCGAGTTTTCTTTGAATTAGGCTAATTAGAAAATGTATATTTTTTCCCCCTTAAACTTATTTCTTGTTAGTTATTTGTAACTTATTAAGCTTATACAGACATGCTTAAGGGTCCAAAGGACCAAGAGAATGAGAAACTCTTACCTGTAAGCAAGGGAAACACTGGCAACTCGAGTGGCTGTGCCGGAGCACCAAGCAGTACCATCTTTCCATGAGGCTTCAACAAACCAATCAAGGGTGAAAGGGCGTGAGTAGCAGATACAGTATCAAGGATCCCGTCCAACGTCCCAGCTGCAGCCTGAACAGAAACGATTAATGTGGTTTCATATCTCAGCAGAAGATTTAAAAAAAAAAGAAAAAAAATTGAAAAATGAAGCAAAATCTTGATTCTTCTCACCTTCATCTCCTCCTGATTACGACTAACCAAAAAAGAGTCTGCACCAAGTTTTTCAATAGCATCCTTCTTCTTATTAGTAGATTTACTGATAACTGTAACATTAGTACCAAAAGCCTTGGCAAACTTCACAGCTACATGGCCAAGCCCGCCAAGCCCAACAACACCAATATTCATTCCCGGCTTGTCAAATCCGAAGTACCTCAAGGGACTGTAAGTCGTAATCCCAGCACATAAGAGAGGAGCACCAGCGTCGAGGGGAAAGTTCTTGGGCCAAAGAACAATAAAGTGCTCGTCAACAACCATTAAATTAGAATAACCTCCTTGTGATGGGGTACCATCAGTGTAAACGGAGCCATAGGTCCATATAACTTTTGGACAGTAGTTTTCAAGACCATTGGTGCACTGATCACACTGGCGACATGATCCAACTAAACATCCTACTCCCACTTCGTCCCCAACCTTGACTTTCTCCACCTTGCTACCAACCTCAGTTACTTCACCTACAATCTCGTGCCTGCAATAATCAGCAGAGTTGATATGCGAATCGATTGGTACTTTGCAAATTTTTACGAACGTTTAAGGTGATTCAAACTGGCAAACAATACTCATACAATAACTATGCGTGAGAGATCGATGTTACCCAGGAATAATTGGATACTGAGTGGAGCCCCAATCATTCTTGACCACATGAAGATCCGTATGGCAGACCCCGCAATACAACACTTTGAACTGCACATCATGGTCTCCGGTCTCCCTGAACACCAAATAAGGTGTAAATCAATTGAAAAATAGCCAAATTCAATGCACAAACAAGAACAGAAACAAAAGAAAAAAGTGGGAATCAAAAGAAAACCAGAAATGGAGATGTATACCTTCTGGAGAAATTGATTGGAGCTAAAACCCCAGATGAGTTTCTTGAACCCCATCCATAAACCTTGACAGGGTGCTCAGTTTCAGGAGATTTTGCCATTTCCTTATTCTTTTGCTTTTCACGTTACGATTTCTTCCAAACCTCTGTGATCTCTCTTTATTTGTCCCAAGATTAGAATATCTAGACTCTTAAGTAATCTAATACGTGCGACATGCCCAGACTTTGATTCTTGATCTGTGTCTTTCTCGAATATTCATTACCTTAACATTGTAGGGAATCTAGGGACAGCGGAATTGCTTAATATTTTTTCCATTTTTTGCCACAAATTGTCGATAAGAGATCTACGTGAAATTTTCTATTTAAATTTTTTTATGCGCACTAAAAATTTTCTTTGTTTGGAAGTTCATTTTTATTTCAAGAAATATTTATTCTTATCCTCTTTTTTATTTAATATAATTTTTATATGTTAATAATTAATGAATTCAAATACCATTTGAATTCTTTTAAACGTAAAATTTGTAGTTTATTAAATGAAATTATTATAAAATAATAATAAGTTGTAGATTTGGGTTTAAAAAGAGCATATTAGTATCTTAAATCTCTATTTTAAAAAGTTGAAATAGAATTTCTTGGTGCTTATTTTTTATGCATGGTTCCTCCAAAATAGAGTTTATCTTGCATATAGATTGTGGCGCTATTTACATCCACTTTTAAAAAGATAATTATATTATATTTTTTATTTTATGTAAATTTATCTAAATAGACATATATAAAATTAAATAAAACTATATC